CAGAAATTATTATGACTAAAACCTAGATATAAAATTATATCATCATAAATACACAAGATACAAATAACAGTGTATATATATATAGCCAAATAGGTGACATAATATAACTAAATAGGTTACATCAATACATTGTATATAAGAATAGTCTTGTGGTGTAAAACCGTGACTTGAGAAAGCCAAGAGTGTAAGCGCCAGGGAAATGGACGCTCAGTATAGTGTATCTCCATACAAGCCTCGGTTCTATCACCTCTTGCCTCCCCTCCCTAAATCCCTCCACCAGCTCCAATCTTAATAATGGTATTAGCCATGGATCGAAAGTCGGGTTGGTTGATGCAGCCACCACCATCACCTTCGCAACAGAAAATGAGCATGATCATCAATGAGCATTTTTACTGTTGATACATGCAACATCTCAGCTTCAAACGAAAATATTTTACACCCACAGCCCAACATTTGCAAACATTCTACACCCACATGGGAAAACCCATACATAAACCGTGTTTGTAACAGTCATAAGAGACCATCCACTACACCCTCAGCCACACATGACCACACTCATCCTCTCGGAACATCCACGAAGCGACACCCGCCTTGCTACACCCTCCCAGACTACACCCGCCGCCTCGGGTGTACACAGAGCAGTGGCTGATCTGGTCTGGGGCGAGGGTATACATAGGAAATACTCTTCTTGCTAAACACACGATATTGGATGCGGGTTTAGTGGCATACAGCCGCCCACCTCGCCTTGGACGCGAATAGGGAATAGGAGCAGCGCAAGAAGGGATTGAAGGTAGAGAAAGAGGGAAGAAAGGGATTAGGAGAAACAGGAAGAGGAGAAGGAGGATAAGGGGGGATAGGATTTATTTTCCTCTAACGATTACTGTCCAAGCGTAAGCCCTAGCCTACTAGCCGTGATAGCATTTGTAATACCAACTATTGGATAAGGATAGTTGGGGATTGTTGCACCTGTGAATAGGCAGCCTCTTATGTACTATGAAACAAATTCGATAAATAGATTGTATATCTTCTATATGACCACGAGAAGTGTCTTTAGTGAGAGATACAGGAGAGATAATACTATACGAAAGGCCTCATCTGATAGGGGAGGATACTTGCTGGAAATAATCATTTGGTAGAGCAAACACGTACTGTCAATGAATCTCTCGCACCACACATTTCCCCGACTTTTATATTTCATAATCACTTCTTTCCACAAAGATTCACAAGCATTTCTTTCCCTACCATTCATGCCACCTAGTTCTACATCCTGAGTATAAGGCCATCAGCCTCCTAACTTCCAGCTTCCCATCTTTTGAACCGTCTGTTTTCCCCTCTCCTGTCCATAGCCCCAGGTACTCACAGTGAACACGAAGGACAGCAGTTGTGGATATGGTGTACTGTGAGACCTTGGGGTTGGTAGCCGTGCAGGCGACTGTGCGTCCATTGTCGTCTGGGGTTGGAAGCAACCGACCCCTCCTAGTGGTCGTGTTTTGGTCCAACGACGACTGAAGAAATAGAAAATAAACAAAAATATATAGAGAGGAACAGAGATTTCCATTATATCAAAACATCTCCATACTAGTTGACTATATACCAGACAAAACATAGTACCTAGCTTCAATTACTTAAAATCATCGCTATACATTGTAAAATACGTATTTTAACAGTTTAAGATTTTCCTCAACTTAAGTATGTTACAATAAATTACATTGCACAAGATATATACACCGAGAGGTATACCCCAATTCTCTGTGTATATCCATTGAGAGTTAACTTTAGTCCTGTATAACTTGCCGACTGGTGGGTAAGATATTATGGTGGTGGACATAACTCGCCCGCTGTTAATAGGCTTTAAACCCAACATTAAACCATTACAACTTGAATGTATTCTAACTTCATCTCGGATACTACACAGCAAACGTAACCAAGGTCATTACTGTATACAGGAACTATGTTCAATACCATCCTTGTTTGGTAAGCTCCCCCAGAGGTGCCCTGGGAACTAGTTAGTTGGGTCGTGTTGTTCTCATCTCAAACCCCATGTGTGTTTTTACATTTTAACTGTATTGATATTAGGGAAATTATGAATCTATCATCATAGACAGTTACCATCGTGCTAAAATTGCAAAAACCAGCATCATAAGAGTCATCTTCACTAATCACCCTCACAAAAAATGGCATCACTTAGTGCTACATAATTTATTGCCATTATTATCCTATTGCCAGTGGCAACTATAGGCACACTAATCACCATGATGTTTTGTTAAAATAATTTCGTTATGGTATCGTCTATTTTATTGGTATATCACGCATATATACACACAGGGGCACACACACACACACACACACACACACACACACACACACACACACACACACACACACACACACACACACACACACACACACACACACACACACATATGATCACACATGACATGATCACTACCTACAAAATTCACAGAGGAATTGACAGGGTAGATAAAGATAAACTGTTTAACACGGGTGGTACACGAACAAGGGGACACAGGTGGAAACTTAGTACCCAAATGAGCCACAGGGGTCGTTAGAAAGAACTTTTTCAGTGTCAGAGTAGTTAACAGATGGAATGCATTAGGCAGTAATGTGGTGGAGGCTGACTCCATCACAGTTTCAAGTGTAGATATGATAGATCCCAATGGACTCAGGAACCTGTTCACCAGTAGATTGACAGTTGAGAGGCGGGATCAAAGAGCCAAAGCTCAACCCCCGCAAGCACAACTAGTTGAGTACACACAAGCAATCATAATACCCGCCCTCCGAACACAAAGAACTCAATCTTTACTCACATGTGGGGGAAGCGGAGTAATTCCCGAAGTCCCGTCAATCTGCCAGGTGAGGACTGCTGGAGGTCTGGAGCCAGCAGACCTGCACGCTAAGGTGGCCTCGACTCCAGCCCTGAGGGCAACCTCCACCCCCTCCACCTCCACCTCCAAAGGGGGCACTAACGGAGTGAAAAATCATACTAGTCAGTGGATGACGAGGGGGGATGGAGAAGGGGGTGGGTGGTGGGGTTGTGTGTATAAAGATCTGGAATGTAATGTGTATGGAAGGAAAGTATACAGAGTGGTAATAGGAGAATTATAATGCAGTATACACACACTTTAGTATGCCTCTGTGTATGCTCTAAAAAAAGTGCAAATTGCTTTCCTAGTTCTGTGCTCTCCTGGTGAGTGTGTGTTGGAGCAATGTCTATACTTTAGAGTAACACTTCAGAGTTGCAACAGATGTTGCAACAGGTGTTGCAACAGGTGTTGCAACAGGTGTTGCAACAAGAACTTACTCATATTGAAAACAATAATAGTTCTGGCACCTCAAAATAGTAGACGATACAAGAGAAGAAAAGCAGTAATAACTCTTTCATGTTAGTACCAGTGACCATACCATTAACAACACTACTAATTGAGGTATTGGTGCAAAAATGGTATTGATAGTTGTACAGGAACATAGACAATATCTGCAGTACACATTGTACTAAAGCATTAAATGGCGACAGTTGTACAATAGCAGTTAGAGAAACAGTTGTACAATAGCCGTTTAAGAAACGGTTGTACAGAGATAGTAACAGTAGCAGAGATATCAATAGTGGCCAAAATAGCAGCAGTACTAAAAGCAGTAACTATAACTTTATTGACAATAGCAGTTACTTTCAGTCCAAATAGGAATAGCAATAGATTTTGTGGCAGAAAAAATAGCAAGGCACTTAGTAGCAATACAAGGAACTATAACAGTTATAATAGCAACAATAGCGTTAATATTAACAAAAATAATATAAACGATAACTGCAGCAGAAAATTAGGAGCAAACAAAAGCACTTTTGAAATACAAAAGTAGCAGTAATGATGGAAGTAACAATTCAAACATTAGTAATAATAACAATATCCATAGTAACTATAGCGATAGTATTAATAACAAAAATAGTATCATTAGAAACAAAAGCAGCAGTACTAGTAGTACCAGTAGCAGTATTAACATCAGCAATAAAACTCATATTAGCAACAATAGCAGAATAATCATAGTAAAAATAGCAGAAATATCAGTAAAAATAGCATAAGTATCATAGTAAAAATAGCAGAAATATCAGTAAAAATAGCAGAAGTATCATAGTAAAAATAGCAGAAATATCAGTAAAAATAGCAGAAGTATCATAGTAAAAATAGCAGAAATATCAGTAAAAATAGCAGAAGTATCATAGTAAAAATAGCAGAAGTATCATAGTAAAAATAGCAGAAATATCAGTAAAAATAGCAGAAGTATCAGCCATAGTAAAAAAAGCAGAAATATCAGTAAAAATAGCAGAAGTATCAGTCATAGTAAAAATAGCAGAAGTAGTATCATGCATATAAAATATTAATTGTAAAAAATATAATTAAAAAATTGGCAACAGAAATATGGGATGAGTAAGTTAAACGCGGGTTGTAGAGTGCGTAGACTTCTACTGGCACGCAAATAAATACAATTCAAATGAGTGTTTCATAATTCGTGATTTGGCTGTACGTGCCTGCACAATTATTTAATTAATAAATGCACACACACGCACACATATACATATACACACGCATGCACACACACACATGTATACACACGCACGCACACACGCACAAAACTTACAGTACATCTCAATAGTGACGACACGAGATCGATCGTGGGTGAGGTTGGTGTTGCTGGCGACACATTTGAGTTGCCTCTCGTGGTCCGCCCTGGTCAGCGACGGCAATAGCAGCTTCGAACTCACCACCGTCAGGCCCTGCTCCGTCTGGCGATGGTGATGGTAGTGGTGGAGGCTGGCGTCCGTGTTGGCGCTGACGAAGGGGGTGCTCCCAACACCTATCCCCGCGTCTTGGTGGGAGTGTTGGTGCTGCAACCATGATCTCTCCACCACATCGTTCCCTGACATCCACTTCACCACGGGAGGTGGATAACCTGTAGTACAGCAATTAGCCTTTGTTTATGGCACACTTAAAGAAATCTGTTTAGTGTTTGCAGGTTATAGTTGTGTGTGTGTAAACTAAAGTCTTTGAAAATGTAATAAGTTATTACGAAACGCGTTCAAGTGTCGCGTCATACTAGAAAAAAACTATGGCACACTCACCTCACATAGGCATAAAGGTAGTATCTTATAATTAATGTTATTTTATTGTTTTATTTTTATTATAAAAAAATCATTGTTAATAATTTTAATGATTATAATTATAATTTATATTATTGATAGTATACAATTCTATGGGAGAGGAATGTAAAAAAAATATAAAATTAACGAAATGAAGATATAATTAAGTTTCGTTTTCATAGCCTCCTCTTCTACACACTCTTATATATACACAAACATGCGCAAACACACATATACATACAGACATACACAGTCTCAGGAGCATAAGAATAATTCAACTGAACAAACAGATCGAATGCCAGTCAAGTAATGCTATATATCGCTCTTTATTGCTAAGTAATTATCTTTAAGTAATTGCTATATATCTACCTGCATTGCGACCGAGCAATAGATGTCAATACATGCTCTTGAAGTCAATTTCCTGCATACAACAATTATATTTATATATATATATATATATATATATATATATATATATATATATATATATATATATATATATATATATATATATATATATATATATATATATATATTTTCTCGATCCTCGCCATTCTACACCGTAGATAGCCAGTAGATTAAGATATCATAACAACGAACCAGCTTCCCTTCCAAGTAGCGCTCATTATAAATTATAAAGGACAGTTTATATGCAGAATAGTCAACGTGTATTATACCACCAGAAAAATATAACACTGTTTCTTGGTTTAAGCCACAGGAATTATAACTCTGGCTGGAGGTAACTCACACAACATTCCTTGAGTGAATATTCTCTCTTCATCCTACGTATAAAAAAAAAACATTTAGTGACTGACGATATTTCACCAGTGAAAATTCAGTCACAGGAAACATACTGCTGCAGAGATGAAACGGATTAATCTTATTTTTATGTCGGATGACTTCCAGTATAGTGGCAGCTCTGTGTCCCTCTCTCAATATTGCACCAGTATTGTGTCAGTTATTGCAGCGTTCGCGGGGCACGTTGATGTCTTCTTTGATTATTTAACTCGGATTTATAACCCGTTATGTTCGTGTGTATTTATTTCAGCGTTTTGGAGAACGTGAGTGACGTCAGATGGACAAAACTAATATAATATATATGGAGAGGGAAGCCGGTTGTGTGATAAAACAACTAACAGAGAGCAAAGGATAAAGAAAGTGTATGAGAGAGATACAGAGAGAGAGACAGAGACAGAACCAGACAGACTGACGGAATCGAGAATAAAAGCAAACTTGAATGTGGAAAATGAAAGTTACCAGAAGCACATACTACGCTAATAGTCAAGAGGCGACAGAAATCGACATTATTCCATAATGTGATGTATAATTGAAACATTTAATTTCCACAACTAGAAGATGAACTCGTTCAAAACAACCCTTCAGGCTCGTACATTAGTTTGACCTTGTGACCCCTAGTGACCAAAGATAGTGACGATATCTCGTCTTTCTGAGACCTGTGATGCTGAGTTATTACAGTTTGACCTTTGCTTTGTGACCTATCTCGTTGATTTGACCTACTACACCGATGCCATTTCTGTAATAACGGAAAAAGTCTGAATGGCAAAATGGACAGAAAAGAAATATGGATTAATTTATGTGAGAGTCCGCCAGCCTTCGCCCTGGGCACAAGCGGGTCGGCCTTCCCAGCTGGATGCTCCTGCATGCTCCAGTGGTCCTGAAGACAGGTGGTGCAGGGAGGGAGAGAGAGAGAGAGAGAGGGAGAGACGGAGGGAGAGTGGTAGAGAGGGAGAGAGAGCGTAGTGAAGAGAGAGAGAGGGAGAGACGGAGAGAGCGTGCTAGAGAGGAAGAGAGAGCGTGCTAGAGAGGAAGAGAGAGCGTAGGGAAGAGAGAGAGAGGGAGAGACATGGAGGGTGATAAGAGGAAGGCAAAGGGGGATAGAGGTATGCTAGAAAGAGTGAAAGAATGTTCCCCAAGATTTGAAAATGTCTGCATGATGGGAGGATGTTGTGCAAGATGAATACGTCCGCTTGTTTGGAGAAAGTGATAACGTTTACATGGTTGGGTGACGAGTAGTCTGGTCTCGGAGGAGCTACACACACACACACACACACACACACCACTACACCACAACTGAATCATTAAATCAACTGCATTGTTACTGATCTTCAGGAATTAATCCTCACCAGTGTTAAATCTTCATGTAAACTTTCCTTACATGTACACTGAAAAATACACAGTTGGGTTTACATTCTCTGACGTATCGCTCCAACGCCAAATAAAGGTGTAGTATACCTACCACCGTACGCCCGGCAGGACAGCACCACCCTGGAAGCGATCTCGTACGGCCCCACCACCTGACTTATCATGGTCTCGTATGCATCAAAGATCTCTAGGCTTCGAATCTCCTCTGTTAATTGAAAATAAATAAAATGTCATTCAGATATAATTAGTGATTGCATAATGTTTCAGATCATTGAAAACAACAAATAAAATTGTCATTTAGGTGTAATTAGTGATTGCATAATGATTCAGATCATTGTTGTGGTTGGTAACCTACCATGGACAGTCAGCTGGAGCAATGACATCAATGTTTGTGACGTCATGAAGTCAACCCGACAGGTATAGTTGCCAGCGTCCGCCAAAGTGATGTTCTCCACCTCCAAAAAACCCAATCGTGCCTAGACAAAATAAACATTTTTATATTAGTAGTGATTGGGGAAATTCTAGAGATTGTTATTTGTCAATATTTATATGAACAGATGTTAGTCGAAATCGAGTTTAACCCGGTGATCAACAATTTTTATTAAGACATTGAATTTGGAGGTTATCTTGAGAGGTTATCTTGAAATGATTTCGGGGCTTTAGTGTCCCCGCGTCCCGGTCCTCGACCAGGCCTCCACCCCCAGGAAGCAGCCCGTGACAGCTGACTAACACCCAGGTACCTATTTTACTGCTAGGTAACAGGGGGGGGGGGGTATAGTTTTCCAGAAACCATCTCAAACTCCTTATATCGTCTCATCATTTTCATAAACTTTATATAACCTACATTCACAAACGTCTTATAAGATCGCTGGGCTCACGATCAAGAAAATGCGTATTACGTATCTCCGATTTTATATCTACATTTGAGTGAGGTGGGAGGGGTGATGTGGCATTAACACAAGACAGAACAAGAGGGGATATTAATAGGGTATTAAAAGTATCAACACAAGACAGAACACAAACAATGGGTATTGAATAGAAGAACTCTGAAGAACTCTGAAGATTGAAGAACTCTGTAGGGTAAGGCAGGTCCTAGTCAATAACGGCTTCTCCAATGGTTTCGTCGAAGACATCATAAGAAGGAAAGTGAAAAGCCATGCAACCTCTGAAGAGACAACTAACACAACACCTATACCCCCTATTAGACTATTTTACAGGAACTTCTTTTCCACAGCTCATAAAACGGAGGAAAGGGTCCTGAAAGATATTGTTAATAGAAACGTTATCCCTACAGACAAAAATCAGAGGATACAACTGACGATTTACTATAAAACCAGAAAAACGACCAGCCTACTCATGAAAAACTCTCCAGACACAAAACAGAACGCTTTAAAAGAGACTAACGTCGTCTATGCCTTCAAATGCCCACTTGGGGACTGTAAGCTCCAAAAAACCCAGTATATAGGCAAGACAACAACATCTCTTTCTAGGCGTTTAACGATGCATAAGCAACAGGGCTCTATTAAGGAACATATAATCTCTTCCCACAACCAAACCATCGCCAGAGAAATCCTAGTAAACAACACAGAAATCATCGATAGATACAGCGATAGCAGGCGGCTTGACGTTTGCGAGGCACTACACATCAAGAAGTCAACACCAGCAATCAACAGCCAATTATTGCACAACTATATTCTACCCACCTCAAGACTCCGCTCCAATATAGAAGCATCAAGAAATATGGACCAATAGGCTTTCTACAAACACTTCTATTCAATACCCATTGTTTCTGTTCTGTCTTGTGTTGATACTTTTAATACCCTATTAATATCCCCTCGTGTTCTGTCTTGTGTTAATGCCACATCACCCCTCCCACCTCACTCAAATGTAGATATAAAATCAGAGATACGTTCTAATCAGTTGTGTATTTGTGAAGTCTTTGAAAATGTAATAAGTTTTACGAAACGCGCCCGTGTCGCGTCAGACTAGAAATAAAAATGAATTTTGGAGAAGTGATTTTTGATTTACCTCCAACAGTGAAGCGTAATGTACGAAAGATTGAGAAAATTCGTGTTAGAATTATTAATCTTACTTTTTCGGTCATATTTAATAATATATGTCTACAGGAAAGACTGCTACCAAAATATACTAATATATATATATATATATATATATATATATATATATATATATATATATATATATATAATACAGTTACAATGACACCATCGAATTAAGCGATTGACCTGCGTATAATACTTGGTTTTTCGATATCTAAGTTGAATCAATCACCATTGGTGTTATTTCAATGTCTTCCTCGTAACTTCTGCAGTCATACGAAATGCTCTAACATCTTGAGGGATTTTGTTTCTCGTGTTACTCTTGTCATATGTTTTGTGGTGTTTTTTCCACACCCGGAAACATATCACCCATACTGTGTGTTGCAACACTGACATAGATGCCTCAATTGGCCCAATAAAACTCCCTTGGAACATGCATACAAGTCTCAGTAATCAGAAAAATCCTTAGGAGTACACTAACATTGAACGTTGACCATATATGAACTGTCACATCTAAATCAAGTTAAACCTGCTGATCAATCATTTTTATTCAGACTATGAGCTTGGTATTGCATGGTATCGACCCGTCCGTCAGGGGTCGTGTGGAGGATGGTAGAGTGCCTCAGGTGCAGCGTTTCATGTTTGCATCATGTTCACCTGTATTGCAGACAATTAATTGATAGTATCTAATTCATGAAGAGATTCTCTTTTTTGTTTTCCCAGACAGTAATAGTGATACCATGTTCTCTTGAGCGATGGTGATTTTATCGTTGTTTAGGAATTTAAAGCTTTTGTATATCAGTGATATTTGTTTCAGACATTTTGTGTTTCGTAAACATTGTTTCACACCGTTTATGTCTCATACACTTTGGGTTTCATGCACTTTGGATCGTGATATTTTTTATCTTTGTATTCGTTTTATGTGTGAGTCATTAGTTAGTAAATATGTGGAATTCAGCATCACAAGTTAAGATAAATCTGTTTTGTCGTCTGTACTGCCTCATTGAGCATTGTATTCTGCACCCCGGATGATGTTGTTGTTGTTAAAGATTCGCTACTTGGAACAAGCAGTTCCAAGTAGCACCGGCTATGGTGAGCCCGTAACCCGGATGAAGTGCTTCAGCATTTTTCAGGAAAGTTTTGATTGTGAAATATTTCTCATCACCAGGAAACACTTTGCCATTTCAGGAACTAAGTTAATTTCATCACTATTGCAGTTCCAGTGGTTAAATAACTGAAGTTAAAATTGAATTAAAATCGAAAAGAATGTAATATATTTTCTATTTACATTAGAGTATAAATCACGACAACTGTACAGATAATTTTAAGTCTTCTTTTCCGAATATGTTTTAATTCTCTAATTACTAATTTGTTATAATTGATGATGCAACCGAGGCCTTTATCATCACCCCATCAACATCATCACCCACCTTTTCTTTGCAAGCATTATCTAACAAGTAATTAACCATATTGAAATTATTCATAATTAATTTCCACGAAGCATTATTATTTGCGGATAAATGTTTTAATATTTAATTGTAGTAAGTCGTTGAAATTTGTATATTGAGTGTCCACTTATTCACATGTCATATAACATTGAATATACATTGAAATCTTCAATTATTTTGTACCATGAGAATATTACAAAGTATTCATATGCAGGTCTGATAATAGTGGTAATTACTGTAATAAAAAACAAATAATTTTAATTTTTAAATATACCAAAAATACTTTAATACCGAATACTTAAAAAATAATGTAAACTGCACAATAATAATATTAATAATAGCACAATAATATGAAAGACAAACAAAAAGCAATTTCTTCCCAATAAACAGAAACGATATACATTTGTGAGTGTATTTATATGGGCGTCACGATGATTGACAGCTGTAACAGAGCGAGGAAGCTGGTTCCGGTGCTTCCCATTACAGTTTTGTTGATTGCCAGGAGGCACTAGAATACAGGAGAGGGGGCAGGATAACACTGATGGATGAAGGATACCACTGTGGAGGCAGGATAACACTGATGGAAGCAGGATAGCACTGTGGAGGCAGGATAACACTGATGGAAGCAGGATAGCACTGTGGAGGCAGGATAACACTGATGGAAGCAGGATAACACTGTTGGGGCAGGATAACACTGTTGGAGGCAGGATAACACTGATGGATGAGGGATAGCACTGTGGAGGCAGGATAACACTGATGGAAGCAGGATAACATTGATGAAGGCAGGATAACACTGATGGATGAAGGATAGCACTGTGGAGTCAGTATAACACTCTGAAGGAAGCATAATACCACTGTGAAGGAGACATGAAAACACTGATGGAGGGAGGCTAACGCTGTAGAGGGGGCAGGATAACCCTATGGAGGCAGGCAGATTAACACCATGAAAGAATCAGGATAACACTGTGGAGAAGTCAGGGTAAAACTGGTGGAAGCAGCATAACACTGATGGAACGTGGATAACACTGTGAAGAAGGCAGAATAACACTGTTGAAGTAAGATAACTCTGTAAAAACAAGGCAGGATAATACTGTTAAGGCAGGATAACACTGCGAGAAAAGGCAGTATGACACTGTGAATGAGGCAGGATATAAACGCAACTGAATGCACCTAGCAAATCTCTGCAACACAATTCCAAGGTTGTTGCAGGATAACAGGCCTCTCAAGCGGCAGGATAATGACACGAAGGAGGTATGAAAATGACCCTGGCCCTCGCAGGATAATGACAGGACCTAAGTAGCATGATACAAGCGTGACTGCAGGCACTTAGTGACTTGTTATCGTGTGTTCTCTCGTGTTAGAGACGTGTTATCTCGTGTTTTCTCGTGTTAGTACATGTTATCATGTGTTCTCGTGTTTTCTCGTGTTAGTACATGTTATCATGTGTTCTCTCGTGTTAGTGACATGTTATTTTGTGTTCTCTCGTGTTAGTGGCGAGTTATTTTGTGTTATCTCGTGTTAGTGGCATGTTATCTTATGTTCTCTCTTGTTAGAGACGTGTTATCTCGTGTTTTCTCGTGTTAGTACATGTTATCTTGTGTTCTCTCGTGTTAGTGGCTATTTATTTTGTGTTATCTCGTGTTAGTGGCATGTTATTTTATGATCTCTCTTGTTAATGATGTGTTATTTTGTGTTTTCTCGTATTAGTGACATGTTATCTAGTGTTTCCTCGTGTTATCAACATGTTATCATGTGTTATCAACGTGTTATCTTGTCTTCTCTCGTATTATTCCTGTGCATGTCACTCTACACTCTCCCCTCGGGTGCTACAGTTTTGTGAATGTATATTATATACATTTATGTATCTTTTGAACACATGCTATGCAGACGGAAAATATTGCCGTAAATATTTATATATTTTGTTCTGTCATTGGCAGGGAATTGACAATATACATGGCCAACCTAGGA